GGGGGGTTAAAGGTGTGCGCTACACTACCCATCTATATCCTAGCCCTTTACTGCTTAGATGACATGCAGATTTTTCTAGTTTTTTTTTTTTTTTTTTTTTTTTTTTTTTTTTGAAACACCTGTGCATTCTTTTTAATTCTATGCTTAGGGTTCTGATCCATTTGGAGTTATCTTTTGTATGTAGTGTGAGGTAGGGTCCTGTCTTCATTCTTTTTTTTTTTTTTTCCTTCTTTTTGGTTTTTCGAGACAGGGTTTCTCTGTGGCTTTGGAGCCTGCCCTGGAACTAGCTCTGTAGACCAGGCTGGTCTCGAACTCACAGAGATTCACCTGCCTCTGCCTCCTGAGTGCTGGGATTAAAGGCGTGCGCCGCCATCGCCAGGCTTTAAATATTTATTTTATTATGTATACAATGTTCTGTCTGTATGCCTGCAGGCCAAAAGAGGGCACCAGACCCCATTACAGATGGTTGTGAGCCACCATGTGGTTGCTGGGAATTGAACTCAGGACCTTTGGAAGAGCAGGCAATGCTCTTAACCTCTGAGCCATCTCTCCAGCCCCAACTGAATTTTTTTTTTTTTTTTTGGTACCCTTGTTGAAAACCATTTGGTTAAAAAAAAAAAAAGAATTCATTTCTAGACCCTTAGTTCCTTCCCATAATCTGTAGTTCTTGTACCAGCATTGCACTTTATTATTGACTGCCCTTTTGTAATAAGTTTTGGAACCACAAACTCCAAAACCTTCCATTTTATTGTTGTTTCTTCCTACTTCTCCTTTTCTTTTTCTTTTCTTTTTTTTTTTTTTTGGTTCTGAGGATCAAACTCGAGTCTTCTGCATGCTAAGCATACAGCTGAGTTCTTAGCTTTGACTTTCATCATTTAAAAAAAAAAACATTTGTGTGTATGTGTGTCACATAGATGTGCTATTAGTGAGATTCCACCCATGAACTTTCTAGAAGATGAACCTAGTAGATACTCATTAAATATTTAGAATAACATAACATTTCCTGTATGGTAGTGGTGGGACACCTTTAATCCCAACACTCAAGAGGAAGAGGCAGGCAGATTGCTACAAGTTTGAGGCCTGCCAGGGCTGCATAGTGAGACATCTCTTTTTTTTTTTTTTTAAATTTATCTCCTTTTTAAGGGAGATGCTTTTGAATTGGTCTTGGGGAAAGAACCCTTTAAAGTATATATGTTCTAGTTTTTATAACCTTTTGTTTGTTTGATTGGTTGGTTGGTTGGTTGGTTTGTTTAGAGACAGAGTTTCTTTGTGTAGCCTTGGCTGTCCCGGAACTTTAGCTCTGTAGACCAGGTTAGCCTTGAACTCATGGAGATCATGCTTATCCTCCCAGGAGTGCTGGGACTGGACTAAAAGTTTGCACCACTACCACCCAGCTATAAATGCTCCCCCTTTTTTTCTCTTTTAATGAATTAAAAATGTGGGTCTTGGGCTGATTACATCAACAAGTAGAGCTGGGAATGTCGTTCAGTTTCTAGAGTGCTTACCTAGCATGCACTGAGCCCTAGGCTCCATCCCCAGCCCTGCATACGCCAGAGATGGTGGTACATGCCTGTAATCTCAGTACTCAAGAGGTGAAGGCAAGAGGATCAGGGGTTTAAAGTCACCCTTGGCTACCTGATAATTCAGGGCCAGCCTGGGAATTTAAATAAAAAGATCAGTAAATGATCTTGAAGCTGGCATGCTCCATGTGGAATAAAGGATAGTGTGGAGTTCAGAGCTGGTGTTGAAAGCTTTGGGGACTACACATGGCAAAATGAGGTGACTTTGGCTAATTCATCTTCCTTTTTTGTCTTCACACTTGTCTAGAATCTGCTCCTGTGGGGGTTTTCTGCTTGGTTCTTCAGAGTTCTAGTTGGATGTTTTGTTTGTTCCTCTTTCTTTTGAGACAGTGCCTCTCTGTATGACCCTGTCTCGGGGACTTTCTTTGTAGACTAGGCTGGACTTACTAGAGTGCTGAGGTGAAAGGTATGCACCACTGTGCCTAGGTCTAGTTGGGTTTTGTTGTTGTTTTGGTTTGGTTTGATTTTTCAAGACAAACTTTCTCTGTTTAGCAGTCCTGGCTGTCTGGAACTCCATAGACTATGCCGTCCTCACTGAGATCCACCTGCCTCTGCCTACTGAGTGCTAAGATTAAAGGTGTGCACCACCACAACGGGTATTTCCTTTTAACATGCCAGCTGGTAACCATAGCCAAGGCCTTTCTCTAGCTAGATTTACAGAGAGGTCCTGGGAAACAATTTCTTTGAAGGTTTCTGTCATTTGCTCTGTCATTTTTCAGGATGTCTCTGCTAGTTAGGTCTAGGTCGATTCACTTTGTTGAGGTAGGAAATAATGCTTTGGAAAGTAAGGGAACGTAAGCCCCTCTGGCCTTTGGCATTCAACATAACTTAAGACTGAATTTCTTTAGTTTTGTTTTGTTTTCATAAAAGAGACCAGTCTGTAGAATTTCCTATAACAAAATAAGCCCTCCTCCTTGGTTTTTCCCTTGGAGTTGGATGGCGTGCTACCCCTCTCTATACCTAACCTGAGGCTCCCAGTGACTCATGTCACTGCCATGTTTGTCAGAGTTTGATGAGTGAGCTGTGAGGACACTGGCCCCTGGTAGAAGGTAGGTACAGTGTGCTGTAAGAAGACACCCTCTGGGCTCTACTTTTGACAGCATTGCTGGTTTTTAGGTAGCTCTCTTGTTGCTGTTTGGGCAGTTGCTGAGTTTTCAGAACTCAGGCCCATAGTCTCTGTGTGCCATTCTCAAATTCACAAACACTTGATTGTGATATACTTACTTGATTGCAGACCTAACTTGGCTTGACATATGCAGTATAAAGGTTGTTGTGTTCCATTAAGGATAGTAGAACTGGTCTTAAGTGTGTTTGGGGGAAGCCCAGACTCACTTTAAGGAAAAGGAGGGTCTGTGGAAGTCTCTGCTACTTGAAGGAAGAGTGACTAGTGGGTGGGTAGCCCTCTAGACTGGGTCCTGCTCATCCTTGTTCCTCCTATCATAGGGGGGAGATGAGGATGCATGGGCCAGAAACCCTGTGAGAGCAAACTGGTGTTGAGAGCAGATAGAGTGGGAGTGTCACAGACCTTTTCTCTTAGCACTTGAGCCTGTGGAGGCGTGACAACTAATTTGAATGTTACAGATGGCTAGGAAAGTATGCTTGAGAGAAGATCGTAACATATGATGTGGCTGTGTTCATGGAGAAAGGAAGACTTCTTTTCTTTCTAATGTGGGCAGGCACCCTAGAAAGCCCCTGAGGTCAGAGGTCCCTGGAAGCTGGCAAGCTGCACAGTAACGACTCTGGAGGCCTGTGGATTAGGATTATTAGCAAACTATCAAAGTTTACTGAGACTAAGCAGTTGCCTAAAAAGTGACTTTAAACAGTAGGTGGCAGTTAAGCTAGTGCCCTCCCTAGCAGAGGGACTAAACTTGTCTCGGTAAACTCATGCTCCAAAAGATTCTAATGCTGTGACCCTTTAGTACAGTTCCTCATGTTGTGGTGACCCCCAACCATAAAATTATTTTTGTAGCTACTTCATAACTAATTCTGTTACTGTTATGGATCATAATGTAAAGATCTGTATTTTCCGATGATCTTAGGCAACCCTTATAAAAGGGTTGTTCGGCCCCTAGGTTAGAACCACTGCTTTAGACAGTAAGTACACTCTCTTACATGATGTCCTTCCTGTCTCAGAGCCTTGGTGCACAGTGGCCCCAGTAGTTGTCGTTTTTCCCCCCTTCGGAGATAGGGTTTCTCTGTAGCTTTGGAGCCTGTCCTGGAACTAGCTCTTGTAGACCAGGCTGGCCTTGAACTCAGAGAGATCTGCCTGTCTCTGCCCCCAAGTGCTGGGATTAAAGGTGTGTGCCACCACTGCCCAGCAAACTTTTCTACGTAGGTCTTTAATGTTTTTTTTTTTTTTGTGTGTGTGTGGGTTTTTTTTTGGGGGGGGGTTGGTGCTTTTTTTTTTTTTTTTTTGAGACAGGGCCTCTCCCAGTAGTTGTCTTGTCAGTTCCACCATGCATCCTAGATTTGCAGGAGGCTCTAGGGTTGGGGACTAGAGGCAAGAACTATAGCTGTTGAGTGGTGCTTTATTTTTATTTGATCTATTTTTTCCAGTCAAAAGGAAGAATACACTTGAAGCCCAGTTAGGAAGGGCCTCTGAAGTTATAGGGTCCTCTTCAGGGTGCTGCCCAATTCTCCTTGCGTGTCTGAGTGGCAGGGAATCTATGTAATGGCCATATAGTGTTGCATGGGATCCCTGTGATGTCAGCTCTTCTGTGCCTTGTTTCAGAGCTTGAGATAAACACTCTCATGAGTGCTGGGCCCCTGAGCTTCCCCCAAAAGTGAATTGGTCCTATGTAATGTGTTTCTGATGTTCTGGTGTTCTGGCACAGGTATCAGAAGCAGACAGTGGCCTAGTGTGCCCCCTTTCTCAGGGAGTGTCACTTAACTGTGGGCAGGAGGATGTTAGAGCAGCCATCAGGGTCTAAAAGGTCTGAGGCCAAGGCAGCTGCCAGCACAGCTGGGATGTTTTCTATAGTAGTTAAGTTTCCCTAAAGCTGTGCTAGTAGAGGGCTTAAAACTGTAGGCTTCATAGTTTTGGAGAACAGAAGTCCAAGATCAAATTTTCTCCAGAGGTTCAAGTTGAGAATCCTTCCTTGCATCTGGCATCTGATGTTGGTCTGTAGTCTTTGGATGCCAGTCAGGCGGCACTTTCCCGGTGTCTCCATATGTGTTCCTACTGTACATGTCTGCCTATGTCCAAGTTTCCCCCTTTCAAAAAGTTACCTGTCATAAAATTTGAGCTTACTTGACTTGCTCTCCTTTAACCTAGTTGTCCTGAATCCCATCTCTGCGGTACCAAGATTGCCAGCTTAAGCATCTCTTGCTTGGGTATGCAGCTCAACCTGAAGCTCTCTCCTAGGTGCTTGACTATTCCTGAAGCCTCCTATTTCATTTGTTCCATCTATTCTCCACCAGAACCGGGTGGTGGGTCGGCCTAAAGGCAAGTTGGGCCCAGCCTCAGCGGTGAAGTTGGCTGCCAACCGAACAACAGCAGGAGCTCGCAGGCGCCGGACGCGATGCCGCAAGTGCGAGGCCTGCCTGCGGACGGAGTGCGGAGAGTGTCACTTTTGCAAGGACATGAAGAAATTCGGAGGCCCCGGGCGCATGAAGCAGAGCTGCATCATGCGGCAGTGCATCGCGGTGAGTGCATGGGATGCATGGGTAGGGGCTCTTGCAGGATGCTGGGCTTCCCTGTGTAGTGAGGAGGCAAGCAGGCTTGCTTTTCGTCTAGCCCGGCTCCCACACGGCTAGCTTAGCCCCGGAAAAAATAACATAGAAACTGTATTCTTTTAAACACTGCTTGGCCCATTAGTTTCAGCCTCTTATTGGCTAATTCTCACATCTTGCTTTAAGCCATATTTAGTAATCTGTGTAGCACCGCGAGGTGGTGGCTTACTGGGGAAAGATTCAGCATGTCTGACCTGGCGGCTGCCTCCATGGCATCTGCCTCACTGCCTTCTTCCTCCCAGCATTCTGTTCTGTCTACTCTGCCCACCTAATTTTCTGCCCTATTAAAAGGCCAAGGCTGTCTCTTTATTAACCAATGAAAGTAACACATAGACAGAAAACCCTCCTCCATCATCTCTGCTTCATGCTTGCTGGTCTGTCTTGCCCTAAAGGAGCTCCTTGTGGGATATAAGGGGTTTTAGGTGATGCTCTTCTCAGCTACCCTTGGTTGTACCGGGGTAGGGTAGCCTTGCCATGTGTCAGGCTCCTGTTTGTCAACTGGTGAAATGGCTGAGTACTTTATTAAAGAGGTCTGGGGAGCCTGTCTTGACATAAATCCTGTTGCCAGCGTTTATGGTACATACAGTTCGGGAGGTCGGTTTTGTCCAAGAGGAGGAGGAATGAGACATGGCATGGGGATCCTGGCCCATGGAGAACTTGGCCAGCCTCTCATACATCTCACACTTCTTTGGCAACCTGACACAGTCCTAGAGTTCAATTTTAGTTCCCTCCACCACACACTCTCAGAATTTGCCTTCCCTGAGCGCCACTCCCTGGGGGCCCAGTGGTCTTCCTCCCGCCCCATTAAAAAGCTAGCTTAGCTGGAGTAACCAGATTCCTCAACCCTGGTGAACTGGTCCCTAAGACCAGCATGATATTAGGTTAGTGAGCGTTTTCTCCCTGAATGCTGCTGCTCCCACTCCCAGGTCCTGGGCACCTTCCCCTTTTCCCTACGCTCCCACTGGCATATGAGCACACTTCCTAAAAACCACAACATTTTCAGTTTCTAAGAGTTGCACCACTGTAGATAGCATGTGTGTGTGAACGTGGACAGTGTCATTTTATGAGTAGTTTATTTTACTTAGAATAATATGCTCAAAGATAGAGTTGTCATGCATGACAGAATTGTTTTAATTTAAAAGTTTTGTATGTTTGAGCCAGGTGATGGTGGCACACATCTAGCACCAAGAAGCAGAGAGGCAGGTGGATCTCTGAGGTTGAGGACAGCCTGGTTTACAGAGTGAGTTCTAGGATAGGCTCCAAAGCTACACAGAGAAACCCTGTCTTGACCCCACTCCCCCCCCCCAAAAAAAAAGAAAATTTGTATGTCTGTTTATTGTGCCGTGTGTTGCTTTGTAGCTCTACTGGCATCAAACTCTGACAGTCCTCTTGCACCAGCCTCCCACATGCTGGGATGGGTGTGTGCTACCACACCTGGCTCAGAAATTTGTTAATGTTGAGTAATAATGGATTTATGCATGATTATATTAGATGTATATCATACCTTTTTCGATTTTTCTTTTCTGAGTGTGACTATATGAGTTGTTTCTACCTCTTGCCTCTTGTGAATAACATTGCAATAAACATGAATACTTTTTTTTTGTTTTTTTGTTTTTTTCCTCGAGACAGGGTTTCTCTGTGATTTTGGAGCCTGTCCTGGAACTAGCTCTTGTAGACCAGGCTGGTCTCGATCCACCTGCCTCTGCCTCCCGAGGGCTGGGATTAAAGGCGTGCGCCACCACCGCCCGGCTGAATACTTTTTTAAAAATATTTATTTATTTATTTATTATGTAATACAATATTCTGTCTGTGTGTATGCCTGCAGGCTAAATGTGGGTCCCAGACCCCATTATAGGTGGTTGCTGGGAATTGAACTCAGGACCTTTGGAAGAGCAGGCAATGCTCTTAACCTCTGAGCCATCTCTCCAGCCCCAAACATGAATACTTTGAACACCTTTTCTGTCCTCTGGGCAGAAGTGGAACTGTTGGATCATAATTCTGTTTTTATTCTTTGAGTAATTTCCACAGTGGTGATACAATTTCACATTGCACGAGAAGTACAGAGATTCCATTTCTCTACATCTTAGGCCATATTATTTTCTTGCTTTAATAGTATTTCCCCTAATAATGATTGATGTTGAACACCTTTTTTATTTTATTTGTTTATTAATTATGTATACAATATTCTGTCTGTGTGTGTGCCTGCAGGCCAGAAAAGGGCACCAGACCCCATTACAGATGGTTGTGAGCCACCATGTGGTTGCTGGGAATTGAACTCAGGACCCATGGAAGAGCAGGCAATGCTCTTAACCTCTGAGCCATCTCTCCAGCCCCCTGTTGAACACCTTTTTATGTACACATTAGCCATTTGTTTTGTTTTTTTTTAATATTTATTTATTTATTATGTATAAAATATTCTGTCTGTGTGTATGCCTGAAGGCCAGAAGAGGGCACCAGACCCCCTTACAGATGGTTGTGAGCCACCATGTGGTTGCTGGGAATTGAACTCAGCAGGACCTTTGGAAAAGCAGGCAATGCTCTTAACCACTCATCTCTCCAGCCCCACATTAGCCATTTGTATATCTTCTTTCAAGACCTTTGCCCATCTTTAAGTTAATTTTTTTTTTGGTCTTTTCATGAGTTGTAGAAGTTCTTTATATATTCTGCATATTATTCCTCAAAATCAAATGCAAGTTCTTTTGTTGTTGTTGTTTGTTTTAGATTTATTTACTTTTGTCTCGTATGCATGACTCTTGCCAGCATGTATATACACCATATGCATGCATTGTGTAGTGTTTATACTGTGTGTATGTGTGTGTCTGTGCACCACTGTATATGCTTGATGAAAGAAGTATCAGGTCCCCTGGGACTGGAGTTACAGGCAGTTGTGAACCACCAAATAAACAGGTGCCAGGAACTGAACCTGTATCATACCTTTAATTAATCTTAGCACTCAGGAGACAGGCAGATCTTTTGAGTTCCAGGCCAGCCAGGTCTACTTAGAGTTCCAGGCCAGTCAGAACTATATAGAGACACCCTTCTTAGGGGGTGTGGGGAGGAAGCCTTTGTGAAATAACAGAAGGTTGTGGAATGAGGAGATGTTGGCCGCCTTGGTATTTGGGAAAACAAATAAAAACAAAAACCAAAAAACAGCTCGCTGAAACCCAAGGAAATGTGTTCCAGCATTATCTGAAGCAGCAAAGGCTGGTTTTTGGAGGACAAGAAAAGGCAGAAAGGACCCTGATGAGGTGAACAAGGTCAGGGAAACTGCACAGGAAACTGTCAACCTTGGAGGGGGTTAGGGCACCATCTAAAACAAGGAGTTCAGCCATGTATGTCATCAGTAGAATAGGGGATGTCTTGGTGGAAACAGCCCATGGAAGCAAAAGGAAGGTCTGAGGGTAAAGACTGATTCTGAGGCACCAGAGGCGAAGCGACTTGCATGGAGATGAGCTTGGGAAGCAGCAGTGTCTGTGTGAGAAGCCACATAGAGACAGGGAGCCTAAGGAGGTAGACTTTATACATCAAGAGAAGAAGGGCTGGAAAAGGGGGCAAGCATATGGATCACAGGCAGTTAAAGGGGAAGGGTTAAAGGAAGGCTAACCCTCAGAGGTTTGAGGCAGGAGGAGAAGTGTGAAGCCAGCCTGTTCTGAATTCAGCAGTTGCCAAATCAGTCTGGACTATAGAATGCAGTGTCTTTGGGGAGAAAATGGTACTTCCCGTGTGTACTGGGCATTAATTAGCACAAAAAGACTGAAGATCTATTTGCCTTGGCCCCTGATCTCACTTTGTATCATCATGTATAATAGCAATTCTCAAATCATATGATCTTAAGAAATTATAAAGACCCCAGAAAACTATTGCTTATCTGCTATTTGTTTACTAGTATTATATTGGAAAATACAATTGCGAAATAATAAATGTTTTAAGTTCATTTTAAATTAAGCATATTCACAAATGACACGTTTTTATGAGAGCTACTTCTATTTTCAAAAATAAAATAATTAGGGAAAAGAATGACACTATTGGGCTGGAGAGATGGCTCAGTGGTTAAGAGCATTGCCTGCTCTTCCAAAGGTCCTGAGTTCAATTCCCAGCAACCACATGGTGGCTTACAACCATCTGTAAAAGAGGTCTGGTGTCCTCTTCTGGCCTTCAGGCATACACACAGACAGCACATTGTATACATAATAAATAAATAAATATTAAAAAAAAAAAAAGAATGACACTATTGCATGTTTCTATACATCTCTTGTATCTGGCTCATTGTGGCTTTTATTTTCATATCTGCTTCTTCTATATACCACCTGTTATATTTTCTTTTGGGTGGAGGATTAAGAAAATTCAGCCTCCAACAGGTAGTTGAACAAGGGAGGAACATAACTTCAAGCCTTCAGAATCCCATAGGTGGCACCTTTTATTTATTGTTTAGTTTGTTTATTTATTTATTTATTTTTTTTTTGAGACAGGGTTTCTTTGTATAGCCTTGGCTGTCCTGGAATTAGCTCTGATCTCGAACTCACAGCAAACTTCCTGCCTCTGCTTCCTCAGTGTTGGGACTAAAGGCATGGGCCCCTACTACCCTTCGGCAGCTTCTTTAAGTTAATTGCAAAATGGAATCTGAAACTGTATCAGTCAGATTTTTATACTGTTACACAAAAAGTTGTCTTGCCCTCATTCCGCAGTTATGTTGTAACATTACACACTGTCTTTTGAGGCCGAGTTTCCCAAGGATTGCAGCATACTCTGAACATACACAAATGAATCACATTTGATAGTAAATGTTGCCATCATTCTGATAAGAAAACCTGTTCTTGGCCATGGAACAAGGTGAAGGAAAACCTCATTTGTTTTTAGATTCTTGAATTTTGTCATTTGTCCCAATTGACAGTTTGTTTTCTTTTTGTAAATGACAGGATTATGTAGGTCTTTAAGAAAATGTAACAGCAGCTAATGGTTTTTCTACTTTTTAAAATAAAAATTATGTTCTAAGGCAGACATGGTAGCTCACACCAGTCATCCCAGTAAAGGGGAGGATGAAGCAGGTAGGTCATAAGTTTCCAGTTAGCCTGGGCTGCAGGGTAACTCTAGATAGTGAAAACCCTGACGATAGATGGATGGATGGATGGATGCGTGGGTGGATGAACAAAATGATGTTCTGTGGAGAACTTGGTCAGTTGAGCTCACACATTAGTCACATGTACGTTTCCTGTAATAACAGTCCCTCAGCATGGGGAAGTACTTTGTGCATACTTCCTGTGTGAAAAGGATGTGTGTTCAAGGGTTGAGGTTTTCATGAAGTTAATAATCAAAGGCATGAAGTGGAATTGGTGATCTTCAAGTGTGCATGTGGTCCTGAGTGACTGGTTGCCTGGATGACAGGATCTGGCCTCTAGTCCTGAGGACTCCCAACAGTTTCACCCACTCATGCTTTTGAACCATTACTTCAGAAGGTAAAGCATGTCTTGCCCTTATTCAAGATAGGTATGACCCCACATTCCCCTTTTGAGGTCTTGGAAACAGAGGCATGTGGATTATGCCCTGATACCAATGGTAAGATGAACTTCAGCCCCTCTGTGGACATACTTCTTTCTGATCTTTTCCAAGTGGGAAGCCTTGTCTGACACTTAAATTTGTGTATATAAACAGAATGTGTTCTTCATGTTGTCTGTCTGCTTCCACCAAAAGATCAGGGTGCCAGAGATTTTGATCTGTCTTGTTTTTTGTAATATTCTTAGTTCTTGTAGATTACCTGGCACATAGAGGTACTAATAATATGTAAACAGGTAAATAAATTCGCTTGGATCAGCTTTCTGATTCATGAAAGGCCTAGGAGAACTTTTGCCTAGTCTCCACTAGGGTCTGTCTTCACTCCCTGCTGACTTCAGTGTTTCTTGGGTCCTCAGCCAGTGCTGCCCCACACTGCTGTGTGCCTTGTGTGTGGCGAGGCAGGGAAGGAGGACACAGTGGAAGAGGAAGAAGGCAAGTTTAACCTCATGCTTATGGAGTGCTCCATCTGCAATGAGATCATCCACCCTGGATGCCTTAAGGTAAGCTCTAAGGGCCCTGAACACCCCCTGCCCTCTCCCCATGCTTTAGGGCCCAATGGTTATGATGTGGCAGCTAGATGCCCTCCCTAGAGACTGCTGCTTAGGTCGTGAGGATATACAGGTGTCATGCTGAATTCCTAGAAGACCCTCACTTCTAGGGCATTCTGTGTTAGGTGATAAGTCCAGGACAGGAAGAGTTTCGGGCAGTATCCTAAGTGAATAAATTCAATTTATTCAGAATAACCAGTACCTCAGAACTCCAGCAGGATCCAAAGTATCTCAGCAGATAGAAATTAAGGATCCTGACTTCTGTCTTTTGAGAGAAAAGGGCCTGAGCCAAGGAGGCCAGGTGGTGTGGTTTCTCACCTGTGCCTCTGCACCAGGAACCGGTTCCTGTGACAGGACTGCCTTCTGGGTGACCTTTGTGCCTGCCTGGCTCAGGCGGCTGGTTCCACCTTGGAAAGGAAGAAACCACTCCATGCTGGTACATGTCTCTATCCCAGAATGCATCCATATCTGTGGGCTGTAAGGGATGAGGGCCTTTGTTTTTGGCCCTTATTCCCTCATCACACCTACCTGATAGCTTTGGAAGCCAGCCTCTCCTGGTAGTTACTGCTTCTCTTTTTCTCCTGTGCTCAGCAAAAGTAAATAACACAATCACATGGTAGAGCCTTTCTTTTGGCTAGACACAAGATCGGGGAGGGGTGTGAATGCTGAGGCAGACCTTGTATCCTTGTGGACCCTCTTGGCACTGTTCCCTGCCTACTGAGTCTTATTCTGTCCTTTCAGATTAAGGAGTCAGAGGGTGTGGTCAACGATGAGCTTCCCAATTGCTGGGAGTGTCCGAAGTGTAATCACGCTGGCAAGACCGGGAAAGTGAGTGCGGACTCCAAGTCCCTGGTTGGGTCGGGTTGGCAGAAAGGGACGGGCTGGGCCTTGCCAGGCCTATCCCCAGTTGTCAGTCAGGTGGGGTGCGGTGGGCTGCGAGAGGAAGAGCAAGTTCAAAGATATACAGTTGGATTGTTGTTCTCTCTTTTTGGCCTACAACAAGCAAAAGCGTGGCCCTGGCTTTAAGTATGCCTCCAACCTGCCTGGCTCCTTGCTCAAGGAGCAGAAGATGAACCGGGACAACAAGGAAGGGCAGGAGCCTGCCAAGCGGAGGAGTGAGTGTGAAGAGGCTCCCCGACGCAGATCAGATGAGCACCCTAAAAAGGTGCCTGCAGATAGCATCCTACGCCGAAAGTCTGATGATGTGCACCTAAGAAGGAAACGGAAATATGAGAAGCCCCAAGAGCTGAGTGGACGCAAGCGAGTACGAACTGGGAAGCCCTGGGCAGCAGCAGAAGGGTGGTGTGGCTGTTCTTGAGTATGGGGTGGAGGGGGGAGGACCAGGGAAGGTTAATGGGTAGAACTCGGGATCCTGGCCTCTTAAGAGCTGCCCTAAGCAGGTCACCCAAATCCTGAGAGCCTGGCCCAAAAGAAAGAAACAAGCAAAGTCACTCCTCTTCCCACCCCCTTTAGGCCTCGACGCTTCAAACGTCCCCCGGTTCTTCCTCTCACCTCTCGCCGAGGCCCCCTCTAGGCAGCAGTCTCAGCCCTTGGTGGAGATCCAGTCTCACTTACTTCCAGCAGCAGGTGCTCCCACGCCCCGCCCTCCCGAGGCCCTGGGGACTTGCAAGTCCAGGCTGTTCTCCTCTCCACCCCTCAGAACCCCTGGTCCATTGCTACAGATGCTCCTGTGGCCTGGGCTCAAATCGGCAGTGGGCCAGCTCTGTGAGGTTGAGAAGTCTCTGGTTGGGGAAGCTGCAGCTGGGAAGATCCTGGTGACCCTGCTCTGCTAATGGGCCTTGCCTTTAGTAGCCACAAGGTGGTGTCTGGAGAAGCTCCTGGCAGGGCTTGGCCAGGGATGCCTCCTGCCTGCTCTCCAGCTGCCCTCGGCTTCCTTAGTAGTAGCTGCTGTTAATGAGCAACTGCTGTCTCTGGTCTGTCTCAGGTGGGAGGTCAGTTGGGTGGGAGCAGTTGACTGTCCTCCTTCATTTCTACTATTCTCTGGGAAGTCAGCAGGCAGAACTATCTATGCTGTCTGTTAGTAAGATATGAAGGACATGGCTTTGTGGGGAAGATGTCCTAGCCCTTGCTGAAGAGACCGGGCTCACAGTGTGGTGGGGTATAAAGGGGATGATGTTCCTCCAGTCCAGGAGCAAGGAGCAAACTCTGTATCCTTTCTTCCTTATGGCAGCTAAAACCTGGCAAAGAAGATAAGCTTTTCAGGAAAAAGGTACCATCTTCCCCCTCCCTCATGAACCTGCAGACCACTTTTCAGCTTTCAGAGCTGTAGGCAACACCCCAATGGCCCTTGTGTATCCCATGATTAAGTTGAAAAGTCTGGGGTGGGCGCTATCTCAAACTTCATGGGTTATCACAGGCCACCCATCCTTACCCTTCCCTCTCTCCTGCAGCGGCGGTCCTGGAAGAACGCTGAGGATCGGTTGGCACTGGCCAACAAACCCCTTCGGCGCTTCAAGCAGGAACCAGAGGACGATCTGCCTGAGGCACCTCCTAAGGCCCGGGAGAGTGACCAGTCACGATCCAGCTCACCCACCGCTGGACCCAGCACTGAAGGGGCTGAAGGCCCAGAAGAGAAGAAAAAGGTGAAGATGCGCCGGAAACGGCGGCTTCCCAACAAGGAGCTGAGCAAAGAGCTAAGCAAGGAGCTCAATCACGAGATCCAAAAGACAGAGAGTACCTTGGCCCACGAGACCCACCAGCCCATCAAGTCAGAGCCCGAAAGTGAGAACGAGGAGCCAAAGAGGCCCCTAAGCCACTGCGAGCGCCCCCACCGCTTCAGCAAGGGGCTCAACGGCACCCCTCGGGAGCTACGGCACCCACTGGGACCTGGCCTTCGCAGCCCACCTCGTGTTACGTCCCGGCCCCCACCCTCTGCGTCCCCACCTAAGTGCATCCAGATGGAGCGTCATGTGATCCGGCCGCCACCCATCAGCCCTCCACCTGACTCGCTGCCCCTTGACGATGGAGCAGCCCATGTCATGCACAGGGAGGAGTGGATGGCAGTCTTCAGCTACCTCAGCCACCAAGACCTGTGTGTCTGCATGCGGGTCTGCAGAACCTGGAACCGCTGGTGAGGGACAGCCCTGTGTAGGTGGGGCTTACGTTGTGGTTCAGGATAGTCCATGGCAGCATATATTGCTTGAGTTGCTTCTAGAGATTAGTTAGTTTCCTATTAAAGATGTAGTCTCAGGAAGGGAGGTACCCATTTGCTTTGCTTTTCTTCTTCTTCTTTTTTTTTTTTTTTTTTTTTTTTTTGTTTTTTTTTTTTTTTTTTTTTT